TTCCTCTCTGCATTCCGACGGCTCAAGACGGCCCAAGAGGCCCCCAAGATCGCCCCAAGATCGCCCACGAGGCCTCCAAGATGGCCCCATGACGGCCCAAGGGGCACCCAAAACGGCAAGAGGCCTCCAAGACGCCCATGATGGTCTCTAAGACGGCCCCGAAGCACCCCAAGAAGGCCCCAAGTCGGCCCAGAGAGGCCCCAAAGACGGCTTCAGACGGCGTCAGACGGGCCAGGAGCCCACCAAGATGGCCGAAGTTGGCTCTAGGCTAGCCCAAGACGACCCAAGAGGCCTCCAAGAGGGCCTCCAAGAGGACTCGAAGAGGCCAGAATCATCGGTTTTCCTGAGGTTTTTGAAGGATTCCAGCATTTGCTTCTTTTCGGCCTTCCGACGGCCCGACACGGCCCAAGAGCCCCCAAAGATCGCCCCAAGATCGCCCAAGAGGTCTCCAAGATGGCCCCAGAACGGCCCAAGAGGCCCCCAAGACGGCCCAGGAGGCCTTCAAGACGCCCAAGATGGCCTCCAAGACGGCCCTGGAGCATTCCAAGAGGGCGCCAAGTCGGCCCATAGAGGCCCCCCAAATGGCTTCCAACGGCATCAGACGGGTCAGGAGCCCACCAAGACGGCCGAAGATGGCCCTAAGATGGCCCAAGACGGCCAAAGAGGCCCCCAAGGGGGCCCCCAAGACGGCCCAAGAGGCCTCCAAGACGCTCAAGATGGCCTCCAAGACGCCCCAAGAGCCCTCCAAGACGTCCTCCAAGAAGGCCCGAAAGGGTCAAAATGGCCTCCAGACGGCCAAGATGGCCTTCAAGATGCCCACGTGTTCCCCGAAGGCTTTCCAAACCGATTCGGGGAACACATGGTCCGATAGCTTGGCAGGTCTGGCCTCAACGTTCGGCCACATAGGCGCTTCCAAAAAGGCAGGGGGCGGCGGTGATTCGCCGTAGGCGTCTTCGATCCGCCGCCCCCCGTTGATTCATCACAAGGGTGCCCGGCGTGCTAGACGATTTTGCGGTTTTGGTTTTGGTTCTTTTCCAAAAGAACTCCCCTTGGGGTTTCGGCCCGTCCCGCCGGAGATGCGTAACAGGTGGTTGCAAAAGGTGTTTCGGCTCCAGACGGCTCCAAGATAGCCTCCAAGATGGTCAAGATGGCCTCCAAGTTAGATGGCCTCGAAGACGACCCAAGAGAGTCCAATATGTCTCCAAGTTCGCACAAGAAACACCTAAGACGGCCCAAGACGGCGCAAGAGGCCTCCAAGAGGCCTCAAAGACGGCCCAAGATGCCTCGAAGAGTTCCTCCAGGACGTCCCGAAGAGGTTAAAACAATTGTTTTCCCGTAGGTTTTCGAAGGATTTTGGCTTTTGCTCCTTTTCGGCCTTCCGACGGCCCAAGACGGCCCAAGAGCTCATCAAGATCGCCCCAAGAATGCCCAAGAAGCCTCCAAGATGGCCCCAAGACGGCCCAAGATGCACCCAAGACTGCCCAAGATGGCCTCAAGATGGCCAAAGTCCTCCCAACGCGCCCCGCGAGCCCTCCAAGAGCTCCACCAGGAAGGCCCGAAAGGACGAAATTCGTGGATTTTCCTTGGGTTTTTGAAGGATTTTGGCATTGTTGTATTTTCAGCTCTCCGACGGCCGAAGACGGCCCAAGAGGCCTCCAACATCGCCCCAAGAGCGCACAAGAGTCCTCCAAGATGGCCCCATGACAGCCCAAGAGACCCCCGAGAGGGCCCCAACAAGACCCCAAGACGGCCCCAAAGGCCTTCCAAACGCCCAAGATGGCATCCAAGACGGACAAAATTGCCTCCAAGATGCCTCCAATACGGTCAAGAAGGCGTCCAAGACGGCGAAGATGGCCCCAAGATGCACCCAAGACGGCCCCGGATGGCCTGAAGATAGCCTTAGAGTGCCCAAAACGCCCGCCAGAGGCCTCCAAGACGGCCCAAGAGCCCTCCAAAGCGTCCTCCAGGAAACCCGAAAGCTCGGAAATCACATGGTCCGATAGCTCGGCTGACTCCGTGTTGCCCGAAAGCTTTCGAAACCCACTCGGGGAACGCGTGGCCCGATAGCTTGGCCAAGCTCAAACCCAACTTTCGGCCACACAGGCGCTTCCAAAAAGGCAGGGGGCGGCGGTGACTCACCGTAGGCGTCTTCGATAAGTGTCTGACTTCTTCTTCTGCTGCTTCTTCTTCTTCTTCTGCTGCTTCTTCTTCTTCTTCCCCCCCCACGTGTTCCCCGAAGGGTTCCCACACCGGCCTCTCGATAAATGTCGGACTTCTTCATCTTCTTCTTATTCTTCTTCTTCCCCCACGTGTTCCCCGAAGGGTTTCCACAACGGCTGGGGGAACAGAGAGTCCGATAGCTTGGCCGAGCCGCGGGCACAACGGTCGGCCACACGGGCGCCTCCAGAAACGGCAGGGGGCGGCGGTGATTCGCCGTAGGCGTCTTCGAGAAATACGTCTGACCCGCTCTGGAGACCTTGAACCCACACTTGTTTTATGT